GCAGCTCCAGGGGGCGGCGAGTCACACAGGGAATGATCAGGGTTGCAAAAACCAGTTCGGAGAAACAATTGAATCCTCCCCGCTCAGTTCTAGACCTGTATTCAGACCTTTGGCTTCTTTCCTGTGGCTTCCCATTGGCTTGTGGCTTAAGCTCAAGTGATTTTTGTCTTTCGCTTGACATCCCACCTGCCTTTTCCCAGGCCTCGCCTCACTGTTCAGCTGTTTGATCACATTCCGCCACCCTTCATTTCCTTCTCTCGCTCCTGATGCTGTGCCCTTTGCCACGCCGCCTCATCGGCGTGGAATCATTTCTCCATCCGAGTGCACTGCGATGCCTCCCTCTCCTTATCCTGGTCTCTCCCCAAAGCCTACTCTTTCTGTGCTGCTTGCAAGAGGCCAGTGGGAAAAAAGAAATAAATGAATGAGACCAGCAAGTTGGACAGATACCATAATGCGAGCTGGTTGCAGAAACGTTCTTCGTGCTTCCCTCCCCCACCCGGTCCGACGCACTCTCACATGTCGCAGCCCGTCTAAAATTAGCCTCTCCATGTGCAGATATAAACGTGCTTTAAAACATGTTTTTCCTTCCCTGGCAGGCTGCCGGCAAACATGGGACAGGTTAGTGTGCTGGCCGGATGCAGAGGTTGGTGAGACTCTTATATTGCCCTGCCCGAAGGTCCTCATCCACTTCCTCAAGGAGCCAGGTGAGGGACCCTCGTGGAGCTACTTTATCTGTTTTGACTGTGCCCTTTGCCCCTTGTGCTTATGAAAGCGAGGGACTGAGGACGCGGTCGACAAGCGTGTGGACCACGCTGGGCTCAGCCGAATGCCATTCCGTTGATTTCAAGAGGCGCTGAGGGTGCTCTGCGGCATGTGTAAGGCCTTGCACCGTGTCCATGACAGAGCTGGTTTCTGCAGTACTGACATCAGGCCTGCACTGAAGAGCCCAGAAGTCAGTCCAAGTTGAACCTCTCTAGTCCGGCACCCTCAGGACCTGACCGGTTCCAAACCAGAGAATTTTCTCGACCATGGGAGGTCAGTATTGTCTAGCCTCATGACCAACACTTCCACTGCTTCCTGGGCTGCTCGAGGACATTTAGGGGTAAATTGGAGCCAAAGAATAGCACAGAACACTGAGAGCCAGGATTGGTGGCTGTAAACAAACCTTATGGGACTGTGGGAAACTTGGCCACACCCATGAAAAGTGAACATCTGGCTAACGAAAATCACTCCGGACCATGGATGTTTCCAGATCAGAGAGTTCTGGACTAGAGAGGTTCAACCTGCAGACAGATCCCCCCTGGCTTTAAAAGGGTTGGGACTCATCCCATTGGATAAGCACTACTGTTCAGTTCACAGATCCCCCCTGGCTTTAACAGGGTTGGGGCTCATCACATTGGATAAGCACTACTGTTCAGTTCATCCGCAGTGCTGTCTGAGGCAGGAACAGGATGGGAAGAGCTTCAAGCTGCGCTATAGTGTGGGATGAGATGAAAGGATGAGGAATGAGTGATGTGGTTGTTCCTTAGGTTTAAGGTCCAGATGAGAAGCCTATTAAAATGACCTATGCCCTGGGTCAAACACAACACTGACAAAACCAGACACAATAAGCTAGTGGAAGTCAAAGGCACTCGCTCCAGAGGTGAATTTGGCCCACTAACTCACTATAAACAAATATGTGGGAGAGGAGGGGGAATTGCTCTTCCAGGAAGGATCTAGACTTGGCATTTTCCAAAAGAAAAAGGTAATCTGCACAGCTCAACCTCTTGCCTTGCTGGCAATGCCTGATACGTTAGTTATATACAAGGGATAAGGCCAATCCCTTTCATCTGCAGTTTCATTTCCTGCTCTGGGATTCTTTGCTTTATCCTCGATCCATCTCATAAAACTTTGTGCTAACCGCCCCTCGACAACTGGCAGGAGAAGCCCGTCACGCCAGAGAAACCAGCTACAGGAAGTCCCCAACTTACGAACAGGTCGTGTTCCAAAGGTTTGTTTGTAAGTTGGTAGTTTGGAACTCAGAATGCATTTTCCCATAGAAACAATGTTCTAAATGGTAGTTAGGTTCCCAGGCTAGCCCATAAAAGCCTATTTAATTAACAATGGAGCAGAAATACTGTATATTTGCAATGAAAAAGAGTAGAAACTATTTTAACCCTAACCCTAACCCTTGAATGCTGGTGCTTTAGGAAAGGCAGGTTTAATTAGAGGAAGATTTGGAGGTCAGCCCCCTCTCCTGGCCATACCGCAGGATGTACCTGGCCCCCACACACCAGGAGCTGGCGAGCGGTGCAAGCGCAGTCCGGAGGACTCTGGAGGAACAAGGGCTGACCATATTGCTGGTGGCTGGAGAAAAGCAGCAGTTTCCAGTTTAAAACGCTGCTTCTTTCCAGCCACTGGCTGTGCTACCACCCACTGCTTCTCCAGAGTCCTCCGACCAGCACTTGCGCTGCTCACCACCACCTGTACCTCTTGCCTGCTTCCCTGAGGCTGCAGGTGAGCTTTCGTTTGCATGTGCAGATGTTCCTAAATTGGATGTTTGTAACTCAGGGAGTGCCTGTACTAACATCCAAGGCTATATCTATACTATAGCTTTTTCCGATTGCTTTTCCAGAAGAGGCTTTTTCTTTCGGAGGAGCTGTTATTCCTTGTAGAACAAGGTATACAGGGTTCTGCAAAAGAGCATGTCTGCTCTTCCATGAAAAAAAGCGGAAGAGCAAACGCATTCCCTGGATGTGGCGGAGATTTTCCGGAATACCACAGGTATCCCGGAAAACCCCACAGTGTAGACATATTCCAAAAGATGCTAACATGAAGGAGGGAGTAGTTGCAAAAGGGTTCAGGGGTATCTGTGTGGTGGGGAGGAGATTGTAAGTAGAGCGTCAGAAAGAGCAAATGAATAACACAAAGGCCTCAGAATAAGGAATATTCATACTGGGACATAATTCCAAGAGTGGTCATTTCTGATTGAGTCGAAAAGCACTAATACAACCAAACCCTTTATCTGTCCTGCCTCTGTTTTATAGAATTACCTCAAAAGCAGTTGCTAGTTACTCATTTGCTAGTGCCTGAAGTCACACTCTGGACCCTAACAGAAAAGCTGTGACACCATGAAACCTACAAGAACGATGGGGGGAAAGTCAATGACTATCCTGTGCATATTTATTGATGCAAAACAACAAGTACAAACAAACAAACAAACATTTTTGCTGTACTGATGAAAGAGCCCTGTGGTATAATCAAAATGCATCAATCTTGTCACTTTTGTAGCAATCTGTTCTAACACCACCTGCAAAACAATTTATTTTTCCCCCCATTTGATTTATCATCACACTGACATGGCCCCACATAATTAATGTTGGTAACTATATTTAGTCCCGCTTTTCCATCCCTTGTGCCCATTCTCTCCTTTGTGTTAAAATTTTCTTGGATATTAGCAGCTGGTTCCTTTGGCATGACTGGTCTTTAAGAAGTTTCAGCTGAAAGCTTTATGAGACGGATCCAGGATAAAATCTTGTATACAAATCCACACTGAGTAGGGCTCTTGCCCTCCTCCCACCATTCACATACATTTTGCTATTGTCTAAGCCAGAGGAAGAGGTTCAGTGAAAATACAAATCATAGGATAACGTTAAAAATACACTAGCCCGACTTTTAAACAATGATAGCTTCTTTAGAAAACATTGTCCAGAGGGATCACCTAGCATATTACAACTCCCAACCCAACAAAAGCCTCTCTAAAAACAGTTTAAAAAGAGAAGGCATTGGCTTCTTTAAGAGGCTCTGCACTTCTGAATTGTGAAGAAAGTTTTTTAATCCAATGTACTGTGAAAAAATATATTTTTTAAAAACAAAAGCCATAGCTTTATAATTGCACAGAAGACAGAGGTGCTGTAGCCTCTGACATTCTTATCTGAAGATATAGCCACACCCCACCCCTTCTCCTCCTTTCTTCCTGACATTTTTTTTATCTAAAACAGCCATATGCCTCTGCTGAGCATGCTGCTTTTAATCACATTGAATAAAGCTTTAGCAAAGTTTAACATGAGAGACAGGGTCTGGGGACAACAGAGTGGACCTGCCTTTTAGGGGAGCACTGAAATATGACTGAAATATTATTTTAGTAAAACGATGTTTTTGCCCCTCTGTTCATTGTCATGCTTTGCCATGAGCAAGCATGTGCTTTACCATTATTTCTCCCATCATTGTGCCAATTTTTGGAATCCCCTTTTCATAGGCTGCCAGAAATCGTAACTAAGTCAGAATTGCAAAATAGATGGAGCTATTTTGTAACAGCACCTGCAAAGCAACAATTAAATTTGGAGGGTTTATTTATCTTAACATTGATGGGTCCCTATTTTTTTTTTATTCTTAGTTAACACTTTACATTTTACTTTTTTTTAACATAGGTTTCAGTCCTTGATACTTTACAGCATGGAATAATACACGACAGATCAACAATCTGAGAAAGTGCTGAAAAGAGGCATTGCCGGAGGAGGCTGTGAAGGCTAGAACTATTAGAGAGTTTAAAGAGAAGCTAGATAAATTCATGGAGGTTGGGGCCATAAAAAATGCTATTAGCCAGGAGGTAGGAATGGTGTCCCTGGCCTCTGTTTGTCAGCGGCTGGAGACGGATGGCACGAGACAAATCGCTTGATCATTGTCTTCGTTCCAACCCCTCCGGGACACCTGGCACTGGCCACTGTTGGCAGACAGGCTACTGGTCTAGATGGACCTTTGGTCTGACCCAGTATGGCCATTCTTATGATAAAACCCTAGGCTGCGTCTAGACTGGCAAGATTTTCCGCAAAAGCAGCTGCTCTTGCGGAAAAACTTGCCAGCTGTCTACATTGCCCGCTTGAATTTCTGCAAGAACACTGAGGATCTCATGTAAGATTGTCAGTGTTCTTGCGGAAATACTGTGCTTCTCCCATTCGGGCAAAAGACCTCTTGCGCAAATGCTTTTGCGCAAGAGGGCCAGTGTAGACAACGTGGTATTGTTTTGCGCAAAAAAGCCCAGATCGCGAAAATGGTGATTGGGGCTTTCTTGCGCCAAACCGTGTCTAGATTGGTGCTTTTGCGGAAAAGCGTCCATGCCAATCTAGATGCTCTTTTCCACAAATGCTTTTAATGGAAAAGCTTTTCCGTCAAAAGCATTTGTGGAAAATCATGCCAGTCTAGACGTAGCCCTAATGTAAAGGGACTAGAGAAGAAATTAAAGGCATAGGAGAGTATTATTTAAAGAGTAGATCTCAGGAAAAGGTGAGGGGAGTTATAGAAGTTTCTAATAGTTTATTTTTAAAGCTTCATTTGGATGTTTAGCAGAAGCATATGGAGAACTTAGCAGTTTCAGATAAAAAATTATCAGAAAAGGAGGAGGATGGAGTTTGGGGTGGGGGGTTGTTTCTTCAGATAACAGCATCATAGGCTGCAGCTTTTATCTCTGTCCTTTGTATAGTCACTAAGGTATAGCTTTTGTCTTTTATTTATCTATTTTTATTCTACACTGGAATAAAAGCCTACTAAGAGATCCCATTTTTGTAAATTGAAGTTTTTGTTTGGCTGCATTTTTGTATGCTAGGCAGTTCATGTGGGCAAATCTTTCAAATCAGACTGCCATGTACTTCTGGCTGTAGCACCAGCTGTGTTCAGCATAAGATTCTTTAATGCCCTGCCAGCCCTGCTTAAGTTTAGCTCAAATAAG